TGGGCGCATAACCGCCAGACGACACGCCCAGAAGATGGAGCTTATTGCCTGCTAGGCATATTCGGCATTCATCTACCCCTGATCTACAGCGAGGGCAAAGAGAACGCGCTGAAGCGATTGGAAAAAGTAATACGAGAGTCTTTCGACCAAGTCGCGAGTATTCCTGTTGACAACACTGATGCTCGCAGCCGAAACCAGGAGGAGAGGCTTGGCAAAATCTTCAGCTGGCTTTCGGCTCCTGACCCGTCCACCAACTACCACAAAGCGCACAAGCAGCGGCAGGCTAAGACAGGTCTCTGGCTGCTAGAAAGCACAAAGTTCACAGACTGGAAGAAAAGAGCAGCGTCGCGACTGTGGCTGTACGGGATCCCAGGATGTGGAAAGACCATCCTGAGCTCTACTGTTGTTGAGAATCTGCTGCAGTACTGCCATGATGACACTAACATGGTGACGGCGTACTTTTACTTCAACTTCAACGATGCACAGAAACAAGATCCGAAGCTCATGCTGCGCTCGCTGCTCTGCCAGCTTGTGCAGCGGTCGGTCGTGATACCTAAGGGCGTTGATGCGTTGTTCTCATCTTGCGAGAACGGGCAACGGAAGCCATCGTCACATGCGCTTTTACAAGTAACAAAGGAAGCGGCGCAAGAGTTCACGCACGTGTACGTTGTTCTCGATGCTCTTGATGAGTGTGCGCAGCGCTCGGAGCTGATGGACATGCTCGAAGCAGTGGCTGAGTGGCAGCTTAACAACCTGCATTTGCTCATGACTAGCCGGAAAGAGCGGGATATCGAGCGCTCCTTAGAGGAATACATTAGGGAGGAGGACGCTGTATGTCTTCAAAGGGACGTAGTGGACCAAGACATACAGCGATACGTCCAACAAAGGCTGCGTGTCGACAAGGGCTTGGCGAAATGGAACAAGGACGCTTCTGTCAGGCAGGAGATTGAGGCCGCGCTAATGGGCGGAGCTCACGGGATGTAAGTGTTTTGATTCAGTTCTCTGTTGAGCTAGAGCTGACGATAGCGTAGGTTCCGGTGGGCTGTATGCCAGCTAGACACACTAGGAAAGTGCTGCAATCGAGCGATGCTGCGCAAATCTCTTGCTAGTCTGCCGCGGACGCTAGACCAGACATACGACCGCATTCTTTCCGCGATAAGTGATGAACATTCTAACTACGCGATCCGCATTCTGCAGTGGCTGACGTTCTCTGCGCGGCCGCTGTCCGTCGAAGAGGTCGCCGAAGTCGTCGCCATCGACGTAGCGCGCGACCCAGCGTTCGACCGTGATGAGGTGCTAGAAGATCCGTTAGAAGTTCTGGACATCTGCTCGAGTCTAGTCACTATCACAACGAACGAAGTGGACAGAAGATCAGGGTCTGCTCAACGGATCGTTGCTCTAGCACACTACTCAGTGCAGGAGTACCTTGTGTCAGACAGGATTAGGCAAGGGTTAGCAAAGCAGTACAGCATGCAAGAGACCGCATGTTAGAGCGCAATAACAAGAGGTTCTTTAAAGTACCTAATGCAGCTCCAGCAACTATTAGAAAGAGAGACACTACAGGTGTTTGCACTTGCGAGGTACTCAGCAGAATTCTGGAGCAGCCACCTTCGAAAGACAAGGGACAAGGGAGAACAAGCCAGTCAGCTGGCGGCGAGTTTAATGGCCAAGGAAGAGCCTGCATATCTCAATTGGATCCGGTTGCATGATCCAGACCGCTAATGGGAGAAACTAAAACTGGAAAAAAATCTCGATAGTATACCTATGCCACTTTACTATGCAGCTCTATTAGGCTTAAGTACAACTACAAGACTGCTGCTCGACGCGGGCGCTGATGTCAACGCGCAGGGTGGAGAGTACGGCAACGCACTGCAGGCAGCTTCAGTTGGAGGCCACCAGCAGGTAGTCAAGATGCTGCTTAACGAGGGCGCCGATGTCAACGCGCAGGGTGGACGCTACAGCAACGCACTGCAGGCAGCTTCAGT